ATAACTGAATAACAATATACCTTCAGACTCATCTGAGAACCAATGTATAAACTATACACAGTGCACATATATGTAAAAATCCATACAAACAGGTATCATACTTCAGCAAAAATTTATTGAACAATTCGTTTAACTCAAAACATGTACATATGTATCACAGTGACACAGTACATATACACACACAATAGGGTCAAATTAGAGGCATTATAAACACAAGTATGACGCCATAATTTTGTACAGTGTTTTATAAAATTACAGTACAAGAATAAAAACAACAAAGCGGAAATTTGACTATAAAATAACACGATAACTGTAATGCATTGTAGTATACCAACCTTAAATACTGCGCTTGTTTTCACGTTGATGATACACGGAGATTTAACGCCATCCAACTTAGAAAGAAGAGCCTCGCTATTGGGAACATAAAATTAAACACAATTCCTTTTCTCAGACGGATTATTTATAAAGCCAAAATGACAGCACGTCCCATGCAATTTAAATTAAAAAAGGTAAACTTGATATAGTAAAACACAAGTCATAATGATGATCGCAACAATACAGCAATAACATGCTGTTTCTTTTCACAAAGTATCGCAGCCTGACACTCTTGTCGTTCGAAAGCTTCCATATTGGTTTAGTCAGAGAGATGTTCACTCCTCGACAGTCAACAGTCAATGAAGCCACGCGCGGAATTAGGCGCTCAATACCCATGATGCTTTGCGGCCTGCTGTCCAACCTCCTCTGGTCCTAGCCAGTGCGCGTTTGAGACACTGAGCTGTATAATAACTGGAGGACCTGCTCCTATACCAACCTCGTCCCCAGGGTCTTCCTCGTGGTGGCGCGTGAGCTGAGGAAGACCCTGGTAAAATACGATGAAATCTCCAAGATTCTTGGAGATTTATCGCATGCGCAGTAACGACAACGTTATGTTGCTGACTACAATTAGCGCTGGCGCTTACGATTTTCTTGCTTAAAAATATACATGTTTTGTTGATTGTTTATGGATTTTATATTCTCAAAGTTTTAACAACTTTTACGAAAAATACTTCAGATATAAGCTGTGAACACACATGTACACAAAACTGTGCAACATTTATGATCATATTGTATCAATTTGTCGGAGTATGGCGCTCAAATTTGTGACATTGTTTTGTTCGCTTCGGCAACCCTCGTATATATTAGATGCTGTTCGGCCTCAAATGCGACTGAATAAACACTGATAGTGTTGCCTGGAATAAGAAATGATATTGACTGATTGTTCTGTATATCAAGGTATGTACTGTACATTTATACTGAATTTATTCGATTTTTTTCACACGTTACTTTCACATTTTCTCAGAGTCTCGGAAATCACATTTTCTAATAAACACAGTTTCACACATACAGAAAGACTTCATTTCACACATACAGAAAGACTTCTTCAGAAATCACAGTTTTTAACATACAGAAAGACTTCATATTATCTCATCAGTTGGTGCCCGTTAATCAAATTATGATAACAGTAGAAATGCTTAGAAAGATTTTATTCTGTTTTCCATACACAGTACAACTGTTATTTCGATTTTCTCTTTCCTATATTTTCTTTAAAGCAGGTACTGTTCTGTTACAAAACAACTAATAAACATTTTATTATTTTAACAGGTGAACCATATTTTACATGAACTTGGGAAAAAACCAACTTGAATTCCATGAAAATATATATATATATATATATAATCATGTCATCAATCAGATATTAAACAATCATTAAGATGGCCTCAAGATCACATTTCACAGTGACCAACATGAAAATTTTTAAATGGGAATTAGTTGATGGCATTATAGTTTTCTAATGCTATATAATTTTGTTCATCAAGGTGAAGAAACCTTAACTCACTATACCTTTCCCTGTTACAGGGTTATGGTAGTAATCTTAGAAGATTTTCATGATCTCTCTATTCAGTGGTTCTTTAACCAGTCTAGTATTATGACTGTATTATGTTAAATAGCCTTGTTTGACTTTTGTATTTTGTTTCTTTAATAACACATTTACAATGGTCAAAATTACAGTTTAATATTTGTATTTCTAATGATAACTACTTGCACATATCCATCACACTTCTCTGTTACTATTAAACTTATTACTATCATGCAAGTAAAATCTCTTGGGAAAAATAAAATGTTGTCCCAGGATGGTCATAAATATCAGCTAGTAAAACTAATGAATATACCTATAATCATGTACATATGACTATCATATAATATGTTGTAATTCCTTCAAGTGTTTCAAATTAAATACATTTCTATTTTAAGTTGTTCATTGTTCAAACTTATTTGAAACCTACAGTATACTAATATCCAAAAGTGTGCCTTTTACTTAAGTCCTTATAGACTCCTCCCTAATACAGACACTTTATTGTGCCACTCCAATGTTCATTCAAAGTGATCCAACTGACATCTGAGCTGGTGATAATATACAGCAAACTATTGGAACTTGGAGTATATCAGATAAGTTCATTCAGTCAAGACCTTGAGGTTGTGCTGATCATCATATAAAACTCCATTACATATTGTGCCTTAAAAACATATATACAAATTTTAAAAGTTGTTGCAGCACACTGGGCCATTCCATCTAATATAGCCCCTTCCACACACACCCTATAGAGGGGTCTCTTCATACCTTAAAAATTTTGGAACCCCATTAGATGCAATTTTGGAACCCCTATGGATATCTTTCTACCCCTTTAGGATATTGTTCCTGCCCCTTTGGATATCACTAAAACACCTAATTTTTAGGAAATCTCTTAAGCTACCCTCCAGAAAAATTTAAGGTAAAACCCCCTCTCTCCCCAATAGGATATCCAGACCTCAATAGGGGGGCTATTAAATGGAATGGTCTATTTGACTTGGTGAGTGGTGACTACCACCAAAGCAAAATGAAACATGCTGCCCTGCTTTGCATACAGAATAAATTTTGAAGCATTTCTACTGTTACTTGTAACGATAATCAGATTTGATGAGAAAATATGGAGTCTTTCTGTATGACTGTATGTTAGTGATGTGATCTCATTGTTCATAAGGCTGAAATAGTTTGAAACTCGTGTGAAAATAAATTCAGTATAAATGTACAGTACATACCTTGATATACAGAACAATCAGTCAATATCATTTCATATTCCAGGCAACACTATCAGTGTTTATTCAGTCGCATTTAAAGCCGAACAGCATCTGATATATACGAGGGTTGCGAACAAAACAATGTCACAAATATGAGCGCCATACTCCGACAAATTGATACAATAATATGATGATGAATGTTGCATAGTTTTGTGTACATGTGTGTTCACAGCTTATATCTGAAGTATTTTTCGTAAAATTTGTTAAAACTTTGAGAATAAATACATAAACACTCAACAATACATGTATATTTTTAAGCAAGAAAATCGTAAGCGCCAGCGCTAATTGTAGTCAGCAACATAACGTTGTCGTTACTGCGCATGCGATAAATCTCCAAGAATCTTGGAGATTTCATCGTATTTTACCAGGGTCTTCCTCAGCTCACGCGCCACCACGAGGAAGACCCTGGGGACGAGGTTGCTCCTATACTTCGTTCAGTCAACCAAGTGAAGCCAAAAACATGGCGGATTTTGAGTGAAAATGACGCCATTTCCATGACTACTGGTCCCTAAATTCATGGTAATTGCCACTGAACAAGGCTCAATTGTGAGCCAGCCACAGTTTTCACACCCCCCTGGTTTCTGAAAAAATATTTTGTATTTTTGCAGTGAATTCTTGTTGTTTTGTTATTTTCGACATATTTTTTCGACGTTTGACCGTTTGTTCAAGGATGTGAAAGTCGTACACGTTATTCTCTTCCGTGAAAGACAACAAACAACTATTAAAACCTCCCAAAATGTGGACAAAAACGATATTTCAAGCCGGGCTATAAACAGCAGTCTATAAACATGCAGTCAACTATAAACAGGTAAACATTTTAAAATTCACATTTTTATTTTAGTATTTCATGAAAAAATGTTAGGAATAAATGGTAAAATGTACTCTATTTTTTTAGAAAATAAGCCACAAGTGTTTATAATGTGGTTGTAGATAAACTTTTTTGTATTTACTGTATTAACTTTATGCAATGTTTCATTCCTCGCAATATCGAGTTGCACAACAGTACATGTATGATGAAACTATGATGTTCTGGTGTATTAAAGAGGAAATTAAGGTTTTATATATTTAGCCAAGGGTTTTGTTATGCATGAGCTTGTGGTGAACTGGTGCAGGAAAAAGCTCAACTGCCTAGTAGGGCCAGCTGAAGTGAGAAGGCATGTTTTATATCCAGAATTGTACATTGTAGTTTTAATATGTGCTCTCTGATTGTATTGTATTGTATCATTTGTATGATAGTTTGTTGTATGTGTCTTTAAAAGGCCATTAGCTTGTTTGCCCCATCCTTCAAATATTAAGTAAATTGTGAGTCTTTAGTTTTGCCATATTGCAGTAAGCAAGACTTCACTGTGTGGTTATTTTAATATTTTTATAGTGGAAATTCCTTTCAATTTGCATGGATAACCTGGCCCAGTTTGAGATCTCACTTGAACAAGACAAGATCTCTAAATGTTAGACAAGATAGTTACTAACCTGACTGACTTGGTCAAAATGAATTCAAAACAACAAAATTGGTCATGAAAATAGTGTCAAAACAATAGAGATGCAGAATTTTCCAACAATGCATGAGTCCATGCCACTGTTGTTTAACTGTTAATGAAACTCAGTACCAAGCTGCAACATGTTTGTAAATTAAAGATTCAAAATCATGATTAATTTTGTATTATTTTAATTAAACTTGGTCAAAGAATAATTATCAAATTAATAATTGTAACTGTACAATCAAGTTACAATATGTGATAGAGTATTATTATAACTGTAGCTCCATGGGTGATTCTTTGGCTGTCCCCTGTTTTGATGCCTTGGGCCATTTCTTGTAGTACATATAACAGGGTTTTTTTCAGGATTTTCTCTTGGATCCGTTTTTGCAGAGAAGTTTGAAGAGCAGATTGAGTTTAGCTGAACATCTGTGGTAGTTGCACCCCCCCCCCTACCGGGGGGCTGACACTTGTACTCAACAAATGTAGTTGAGACGGAATGTGTTAAAGCAGGGGCATTGAGGGACACTATAAACTGGTTAACGATGGCGAATGCATAGTTTTTCTTGTGTTGTGAGATGAATTCCAGCCATTTTTTTTTAATTGTCGGGTTTCAAACTAAAAACTAATTTCCACACGTCACAAATTTAACTCAAACAACTTCATTTTTACTGCACTGAAACTTTGGTGAGAAGATTGAGTTTCAAAACTCAATTCAAGATTGAGTTCTTGGGGCCGTTTAACGGCCCTAAAAAATCCCTGAAAAAAAGCCTGATATAAGACTCTGGAGAAAAGTCATTGTTAGTTTTTCCATTTACGGTAGGTCTGGCAAGTGCCACCACTACTATAACACCACTATTCTTGTTATTTGAACATTCCAAAGAACTTGTCCACATGACTTACACCCGGATCACCCTAAATGAGAAATGTCAATTATATTTATAAAATAGTGACAGCTAGTATCATTAGAACACACTTTGAAGAAATAGTGAGTCACATATACCAGGCTCCAAAGTCCAATTACAGGGAAATTTACTGTAGAGTAGACATTATTTATATGTTAACCCATTCAGCATGTACCACTGTGCTCTCTTGTTGACAAGTAAAATTGTTGGCGTTAGACAAAGTAACACTTGAACATATACAGTAGGGTGCAATGCAACTGAACCCATTGAGGGGCAGGACTCTCAACTTGACGAGTAAAATTGTCTGGCATTGGACAGAGTAAAATATTGTAGTGGGGCGCATTGCCGCTTAAAGGATTAAAAATGGGTTCATTACGGATGAAATAAATTGATCCAAGCATTTTTCACATATGAGTTCTGGCATTTATAAGCCCAGCTAGCTTGCAACCAACTTTAAAGCATGCAACCAACTTTAAAGCATACAGCAGTTAATTGCAACCAAGCTTATTATTTTACTCAGGCAGTCTAATGCCTGACAATTTTACTTGTCAAGGGGACAGTCTTGTCAATTAATTGTATTTCTTAACTCCCCAAAGTTTCATTTTACATTTAATTACAATATATCACAAATGATCTAGGTGAGAAGGTTCACAACAATCACAAATAATATATCTAACTGAAATTTGAGCTCTACTCCAATACTGGGGACACCACCACTGAAACCTGAAACCGCTCTCAAATATATCATCAATCAATTTAGGTTAATTGTCAGAGCATAAGGTTGGCCGGTCAATGCCAAGGTGACTGGCACACATATTGTGCACCTTTCATTCCTATATTACCTCTAATGACTGTGGGATTTATAGAACTCTGACAAACTATAATGTTATATACATAAATTAACAAACCTGCTAATCGTTTGGGTTTCGACTCGGCAGCAGCTTTTGACTCGGGTGTTAGAGCATGTTTCTCTGCTCGAGTACGAATTGTCCTCGGGCTTTCATGGCAATCTTGTGGAGAATGTGATGGTGTAGTTGGTGTATGTCATCATCACATTCTGCAAATTTGTTACATACAAATAAGCATAAAACATTTTGAAATATATCAAATAATGAAATATTCTTACCTCTTATAATTATAATTAAGATTCTTTATAAATATAACAATGCAAGTATAGTACAGTATGATGGTTTCAATGAACTGTAACTAGGGGCTTAAATTAAAAAGCCTGTTAGGGTTTCTAGTAGGTCCCTAGCCCAATATTATTAGAAAATATTTGTAAATATTAACATAGCTGTACATAGGGAAAAATACATAAATAAAAATAAAAAATGGCATGATGGAATGTACATTATCAAATAAATATATAAACAGATAGGCTATGTATTAAAATTTAATACCATCAACATCAAGTTGCTGAAACGATATGTTAAGCTCGTCATCAGATAATTCTGCAAACAAAAGACGTATGTTTGAGCTAATTTTATAACTTTAACATACCCATGAGTAGTGAGTACATGACAGTCTATAAAAACAATCACAACAAGCGAATTATTTATACATTCCACGTCAAAATATGCCAATAAACTTACCTCCAGGCGGTTCTTCCTGAAAAGATTCGTCTATATTATCCATAGAATCAGCAATAACGAATGCCAGGTAAAAAAAATTCCAGAAAAGCAGCTAAAACTTTGCAATATCTTCGATTCTTCAGAAGTCGGTTGAGATTATTCAGATATCGGTCAAAATCTCCCAGGCTCTTCCCTTCCTTACCGCAACCTCCCCAAAAATCCCCGCGCGCCTAGTTGCTCACCCAGAGCTCTGAACGTTTTTAATTACGAAAGAGCCTGGGTACGAGGCTGTCCAGAAACAGTGTCGTCACGCATTCGGAAACTGTCGGAGTAATGCCGTAATGTTTAAATTACATGAAGTATATCGTATATAAATGGTAGGAATTCTAAATTATTTTAAAATTAAAACCAAAATAGTACAGTGTTAATTGCTAAACAAATGGCACACTACATCGTGGTTTTAGGTTCTGCAAACAAACAACACCAAAAGATCTATTGTATGGTATGTAAGATGTAATCATTGTTTTACTGTTTATTGTATATACAGGTCTGGAAAATTTAATAGACGAGAGTTGCAAATCGCTGATAACCTCACGTATATTTTTCGTTTGATAGCCACTATAATTATAACTAGGAGCTAGAGTATAACCATGCACATGTCGAAGTACAACCATTTTATACAATGCAGTGCTCGATCTTACATGCAAGTAGTGATAGACCCCCATATAGCAACGGAAGTAATTAGTATGCAAAATCTCCGAAAGTAATTAGTATGCAAAATATGTGACGTAACGTTGCTGGCCCTAACCCTAACCCTTGGCCAGGTAGCGCGACCAATTAACGCGGACAGGCCTGGGCCAACTGTGACAGGTAGCGCGACCAATTAACGCGGGCAGGCCTGGGCCAACTGTGACAGGTAGCGCGACCAATTAACGCGGGCAGGCCTGGGCCAGACGTGGCAGGCATCGATTAGCATCACAACTAGTTTCTGACAAATTTGTAATAAAACGACAAGAGGTTTCTCATAGTTTGCATGTATAAAAGTATGAAATAGAAGTTAGTTTTTTAAAACCTACCGTTAGCTCAGTTGGTAGGATTGTAGTTATTACCAATTCAGTATTCCTTAGGTCACCGGTTCGAACCCGGTACAGTAGAAAATTTTTTGCACTACAATCATGTAACAACGTTGTGAGTCCCTCTCTTATTTTCAACACGCAATTGAAATTCGTTTTAATTTTGATGGCTCGTTTTGAGCAATAAGTTTCCAAACAGAAATAAAAAATATCGCAACAGAAATAAGCAGTTGCTAATCCCGGGTTGTCAAAGCCGTTGTTATGATCGCTCTTTGCATGTTGTAAACCCGCATACATATATACGGTCAAGATGACCGAGTCAGATAGAATACTTAAAGGAAATAACCTGTAGAACAATTTAACAGTCTTAGTTGTAATATTTTTTGTCTATTATTTGTATTAAGAAACATGTTTTAACTTTGCTGCGTTGTTATGTGTTGCCAGGTGATTAGGTGGCGTGTAGGTAATTAAGGGATTAGGCGAACAAAAAATTTGCATAACTAAATGTATCCCTATGGATAGATAGGGATTATATCCTAAGATGTTGATATCCTAAGAAAAATGATATCCTAAGATACTGGATGATATCCTAAGATATTGATATCCTAAGATACTGATACCCTAAGATACTGATATCCTAAGATACTGATATCCTAAGATATTGATATCCTAAGATACTGATATCCTAAGATACTGATAACCTAAGATATTGATATCCTAAGATACTGATATCCTAAGAAAATGATATCCTAAGGAAATGATATCCTAAGATACTGATCAGCTCCTTAGGCTCGGAGCCAGCTACTTGGGCTCGGAGCCACCTCCTTAGGTTCAGAGCCAGCTCCTTAGGTTCGGAGCCGAGCTCCTTAGGCTCGGAGCGGAGCACCGTTCTTGGGGACCTGTTTGGCTTTATTGTTTATTCACCATGTGGCGAAGAGATAAACACGGCAGTCGCCAATAGGCGTTCATAAAGTGGACTATATTCTTATCAAACATTCGTTCTCCAACAATTCCAATTTGTTTCCTATCACTAGGACCTTGGTGGCTCCTATCTCCTATACTTCCCTACATCGACCCTAAATCGACCTCACATCGACCCTACATCGACCTCACATCGACCCTACATCGACCCCACATCGACCCCACATCAACCCTACATCGACCCCACATCGACCCTACATCGACCCTACATCGACCCTACATCGACCCTACATCGACCCTACATCGAACCTACATCGACCCTACATCGACCCTACATCGACCCTACATCGACCCTACATCGACCCTACATCGACCCTACATCACAGCCTAAGGAGCTCGGCTCCGAGCCTAAGGAGCTGGCTCCGAGCCTAAGGAGGTGGCTCCGAGCCCAAGTAGCTGGCTCCGAGCCTAAGGAGCTCATCAGTATCTTAGGATATCATTTCCTTAGGATATCAGTATCTTAGGATATCAGTATCTTAGGATATCAATATCTTAGCTGGGATATCAATATCTTAGGATATCATACAATATCTTAGGATATTATACAGTATCTTAGGATATCAACAGAAGCTTCACAGAAGCTTTACAGAAGCTTCACAGAAGCTTCACAGAAGCTTTACAGAAGCTTCACAGAAGCTTTACAGAAGCTTCACAGAAGCTTTACAGAAGCTTTACAGAAGCTTCACAGAAGCTTTACAGAAGCTTCACAGAAGCTTCACAGAAGCTTTACAGAAGCTTCACAGAAGCTTCACAGAAGCTCTTCCTGAAAGCAACAATACATAGAACAGTGTTTCTATGCATTTAATCATTTGCCGGAACAGTCATGCAAAGACGATTTCGCCGGCCCTGTCCGCTTTGCGGTCGGCCTGATTTGAAGAATATCAGTACACATCTTTTACAAGTTCACGGTTTACAATCCAAGGAGAGAAAACCTTATCTTAAGCAAGCCAAGGTGTCGTCATGGCACCCCTACATCGGCACATCTCCGTACATAAACTCTGAAAAGCAGGGCGAAAAGCGTGTGAGCAGAAGGGCATACTCGTTGCCAACTAAGAAACCGAAAACAGCACAAGCATCTCTGACCACCAAACCCTGTCCGGAATTCAACTTCCGCCATAAATTTTCGCTATTGGTCGTGGGTCCGAGCCAAAGTGGAAAAACATATTTTGTACAACAAATTTTGGAAAAGAATCGTATCGTGTACGATGAGCAAAAACGTATTCGTATTTTTTGGTACTACAACCAGTGGCAAGATTGTTACGACAGTTTGAGAAAATCCCTCGGAAAAAGCATCGAGTTTGAGAGAGGTTTGCCTGAGCTGTCCGAGAACATGAGCGAGATTCATACGCGGTACAACAACATCATCATACTGGACGATCTGAAGGCTGAAGCGACAGATATCAGTATCTTAGGATATCAGTATCTTAGGATATCAGTTTTATTAGGATATCAATATCTTAGGATATCAGTATCTTGGGATATCAATATCTTAGGATATCAGTATCTTAGGATATCAATATCTTAGGATATCAGTATCTTAGGATATCAGTATCTTAGGATATCAGTATCTTAGGATATCAATATCTTAGGATATCAGTATCTTAGGATATCAATATCTTGGGATATCAGTATCGTAGGATATCAGTATCTTAGGATATCAGTATCTTAGGATATCAATATCTTGGGATATCAGTATCGTAGGATATCAATATCTTAGGATATCAGTATCTTAGGATATCAATATCTTAGGATATCAGTATCTTAGGATATCAGTATCTTAGGATATCAGTATCTTAGGATATCAGTATCTTAGGATATCAATATCTTAGGATATCATCCAGTATCTTAGGATATCATTTTTCTTAAGATATCAATATCTTAGGATATAATCCCTATCTATCCATTGGGATACATTTAGTTATGCAAATTTTTTGTTCGCCTAATCCCTTAATTACCTACACGCCACCTAATCACTTGGCAACACATAACAACGCAGCAAAGTTTAAAACATGTTTCTTAATACAAATAATAGACAAAAAATATTACAACTAAGACTGTTAAATTGTTCTACAGGTTATTTCCTTCAAGTAGTCTATCTGACTTGGTCATCTTGACCGTATATATGTATGCGGGTTTGCTAAATAATGTTGAACATGCAAATAGCGATCATAACAACGGCTTTGACAACCCGGGATTAGCAACTGCTTATTTCTGTTGCGATATTTTTTATTTCTGTTTGGCAACTTATTGCCCAAAACGAGCCATCAAATTCATTAAAAAATTAAAACGGATTTCAATTGCGTGTTGAAAATAAGAGAGGGACTCACAACGGAAAAAAAAAAATATTCTACCGTACCGGGTTCGAACCGGTGACCTAAGGAATACTGATTTGGTAATAACTACAGTCCTTTGTTTTACCAACTGAGCTAACGGTAGGTTTTAAAAACTAACTTCTATTTCATACTTTTATACATGCAAACTATGAGAAACCTCTTGTCGTTTTATTACAAATTTGTCAGAAACTAGTTGTGATGCCAATTGATCGCCTGCCACATTTGGCCCAGGCCTGCCCGCGTTAATTGGTCGCGCTACCTCTCACAGTTGGACCAGGCTTGCCCGGGTTAATTTGGCCAGGCTCGCCCGGGTTAATTGGTCGCGCTACCTGTCACAGTTGGCCCAAGGTTAGGGCCAGCAAAGTTACGTCACATATTTTGCATACTAATTACTTCCGACACCTAAGTTTGCATACTAATTACTTCCGTCCCTATATGGGGGTCTTTTACTACTTGCCTGATTACACTTGGTTTTATCCGGTACAGCACGTACCGGATAAAACCAAGTGTAATCAGGCAAGTAGTAAAAGCGAAGTGATTTTCGCGCCGCGGCACGTACCGCTGGCTTTTCTATTATAAGAAAAGACAGAACAAACTGTCGAGGGGGCGGTGTGGCGACTATTTGTAGAAATGATTGGAAAATGCAGATAATGCCAAACTCGGACAATCTGTTTGAATGTTTATGGACTAAAATTGACACACAAAACTCGAATGTCTATGTTGGAACTATATACCACCCTCCTGATCACGATTATAATGAGAATGACCTAATTGAATATTTGATAGACACATGCGAACAAATACTGTCTGTTAAACCAAACTCCAGAATAATCATTGCGGCTGATATCAATAAATTAAATATTCGAAATCTGCTCAATCAGCTGTCGCTCATCCAACTTGTTAAAGTTCCCACAAGGGGCCAAAATATACTTGATGTCTTCATTACGAACGCTCCTCACGATTGGAAAAAAGTTAAAGTAGTGAAAAGCTTAGTAAAATCTGATCATGATATGGTAATAACCTATCCCCGAGATGTAATTAAAGCAGAAAGGAAAAATTCCTATTTTAGAGATGTAAGACAACATAAGAAAATAAATATGTTATATGAATTAGGAACTGTAGACTGGAATATGATAACCAAGGATGGGCAAACTCCAGATGAAATGACGCTGAAATTTTATGAAACGATGTGGCCGATATTTGAAAAGTGTTTTCCACTAATTAAGGTTAGAATCTCTTCACGTGACCCACCGTTTATGTCACCCCTTGTAAAGCATTTGCTAAAGCAAAGGAAAAGAGCTATACAGAAGAGCGATTCCGAATCTCACGCTCGTTTACAAGACCAGATAAACAAGCTAATTCGAGAGAACCAGTTAAATGCCGTCAAACAAGAGAACAAAAATCAGAAAACCGGATCAAAACAGTGGTGGTCCAATGTGAACAGTATTACAGGAAGAAATAATCGGAGTCGATCTGTCAGTGCAGCCTTTGATCCTAGTGAGATAAATGTATACTTTCAAAGTATAAACTCGGATCCTCAGTACGCGGCTCCAGAACCTGTCGAGATCCCTGATGGCACCAGGGTTCCTTCGCTCTCTATAAATACTACTCTATACCTTTTACAAAATCTAAAACGAACAGCATCCGGGCCAAATGATCTACCTTACTGGTTTTGGAAGGAATTTGCATTTGAGCTTGCTCCTACCATAACAAATATATTTAACACTTCATTGAAACTTAGCAAAGTTCCTAAAATGTGGAAACATGCAAATGTACTACCAGTACCTAAAGAATCTATCTTAAACTCTCTTAATCAACTAAGACCAATCTCTTTAACAGATATTATAATGAGATTATTTGAAAGAAGTGTGTTCAAAACTGAGATAGCACATGTTACAAGACACGCTATTGATTCAGATCAGTTTGCATACAAGGAAGGTCACAATTCGATTATGGCTCTGATCAAGTGCCAACACACATGGTTAAGATGGTTAGAAGGAGATGCAAAATATGTCAGAGTATTATCTTTTGACTTTCGCAAAGCATTCGATAGCGTTCCACACGATATTTTATGTGAGAAGCTTAAGAAGCTCCCCATCAACCCATATGTTACTAATTGGCTGATTAGATTTTTGGAGGATAGGAAACAGAGGGTAGTGGTTGATGGAATAGAAACTGAATACTTGAACATTAATCAAGGTGTTCCCCAAGGAACAGTTCTGGGTCCTGTCCTCTTTTCGATCATGGTGAATGACATCAAAACAGTTAACCCCATAAACCAGTTAGTTAAGTTCGCGGATGACATGACATTAGAAGTACCAGGGAATGAAAACGGAGATACATCCCAAGCCGAAGTGAACAGTATACAAACATGGTCTGAAAATAATCGAATGTCCTTAAATATGGAAAAGACGTATGAAATGATTGTTAGGAGAAATATCCCTACGCTGTTGCCTGATCCTTTTCCATTTATTAAACGAAGGACGTGGTTAAAGATTTTAGGAATTACATTACAGGATCTCCCTTCCAAGTGGAATTTGCATTTTGATGAAATGTTGAAAAAAGCCAGTGCAAGAATGTACATAATGCGTGTCTGTAAATACTATGGCTTCCCAATCAAACAAGCATACATCGTAAACTTTATACATAATATTACGGCATAGAACTTTGGGGAGGCGCATACTTCAATAAATACATTAGTCAAATAGACAAATTCATCAATCGCGCTCACAGAAATGGTTACATATCGGAAAAATTGAATATTAAGGAGATAAGCATCAAAAGGGACAAGAAACTTTGGGATAAAGTAATACATAATAAAGATAATGCACTACAGGAGCTTTTACCAGATAAATTAAATAGACACCTTAGGCCAAGGGGACACGAGTTTGAACTTCCATTAGTGAGAACAGAGCGATTTAAAAGTTCTTTTGTAAATCGATGTTTGTTTAACTTTGTTTAACCAATTTTAACCTTTACCTTTTTAACATTATTAATATTTTTATCCATAACTGTATATATCTAGTTATTACCTTATAGATATCAATAATTTTATCTTATATATTTTTATAATGTAAACTCACAGACGGGTGTTCTTGAGTATGAATAAAGACTGTTATTATTATTATTATTATTAGTGTAAACAAGAGGCCAATCCGGTACAGAAATCGCGTCGCTTCGATGCAATCCGGTATAGTGTAATCGGGGCCTAATTTAACATTTACTAGGTTTTAAAACGCCGATTATGCCATCACCTTCTTGAGAATGAGATTTCAAATGGATTTGTCAAATATGTTTATAAGAGACAAATATTTTATATGCATGAGACTCCGTTTAATGGTTATGCTTATTTGTTCAGGGGGGGGGGGATTTTCAAAGTGGGGTGGCGAAAGTTTAGATGAATGAGTGAATATCTCATTTCATATTCACCAGATGTGACCCTGGCGGTTTACGAAACGGGAAATTGCGGCGCTGCCCGATATTTTTCCTATTTTTTGAATGGCCTCTGTACAGGTATTAGTACTATTTCAACACAGCACCACTTTTAATTACAGATTTTGGAAGATTTCTCTGTTTACAGCACTTTTCCCCCATTGGTCTCTTTTCCATGTTTTCTTTGCCTGTTTAACAATACCCCCATGTTTCGAACACGAATATGTTTTCCTTTGAGCCCAGTCACAAATCTATCTCTAAACCCATTTCGTGCAGAAACATGAGGATATAACCACATGAAAACGAGGTTATTCGGGCAAGAGTAGGATAGACAGTACAGTCTATGGCAAAATATTTTTTGTTTGGTGTAGCAAAGAGGGACAGACTCCTGGTGGCGAATTAATCCTAGGCGGCAGTGACCCTGAGCACTACACAGGAGATTTCACATATGTTCCTGTTACAAAGAAAGGTTATTGGCAGTTCAAGATGGATTCTTTAAACATTGTCGATGGTGATGGTCATTTCTGTGCGGGTGGTTGTCAAGCCGTTGCTGATACTGGCATGTCCCGGATTGCTGGACCTACTCAAGAGATCAAAGAATTAAATGCTAAAATTGGTGCTACCCCCGCTATTAGTGGAGCGGTACGTATGCATTTATAGCAAGAAACGAAAATGACCTTCTTACTCTTACCGATTAAAACTTTTCAATTGATAAAGTAAATTATCAGTTTTCTTTACCACTTTCGTGAAAACAGGGATATTTATTCGGGGGGGAGGTGCAGAGTGCCTCGGCAAGGGGGGGTGCCAATTTCCTTATCGAATCCAGTTTGGGATTTCGAAATGAAATATCCAATCATTCCTTACCACAATAAGGTAAAGGCCCCTGAACTCTGACACAACCAGTGTTTCGCCCATTCCACAGAACGCCGCTCTGAGGGTCGATGATTCAACCTCGTACCCAGGCTATTCTCTCTCGCTAAAGCATTCTGCTTATTATATTATGGCACTGTTCAGACAGGTTCAAAATGTGCAACGGAAATTCGTTTCGAAAAGCTCTCTCTCTCTACAGATGCCGAGACTGAGCGAAAGAATTAATGCGAATATATTATACACTATATTATTGCGGTACTTTAGTCAGTCAATTTGACTATGATTCCATGGTAATATGGCCGGCAGGTGCCGTACTATTATCGTAGAAATTGTTCGTTTGAAGATTTATAAACGCTAGAGGTTGGCAATTGGTGGGTACTAAGCGTTACAGAGTAGCAGATGGTAGTCAATTTCAGGAATGTTGTCACTTATGGGAGCAAGAAAATTAAACTATAATACATATTATTAATATCTCATTTCAATTTATTTCTACCAAATACAATACCAATAAATTTACGTCCAGTCCCCAGGAAGGGAAACCGAAATAGTTTTGCTCCTGCTGCGAAGTATTTTAGGAAAAAGATAAACTAGGGAGCAACACCAACCATGTCAAATCGTCCCCCAAAGTGAAGGAAATGGCATGTCAGAGACTTAGATTTTAAAATTTTCTGGGCGTGCATGCTCCTCCCATCCCCTCCTAGAGGTTCCCCACTTAATTCTCGTGGCTTCGGTCATTATCAGCCGCACCCACACACTTTCAAGATGGTTCACTTGCCCGCGCAGTTTGGTAATATTCGATATAGAAATCATATGTAGTAAAATTATACACCTAAAGCTAAGAAAAATGGAATTGGCCGCGCAATATTTTGATGGTGCCCGCGCAAGATATTCGCCAAAATTTCATCTCGCCCGTATATTTTAAAAACTTTCCAAGGATCTTTTGGTCGCCCACCACAAATCAACCTGTTCGCTAATAGCATGTGTCTTGTTTCACTTTTATATTATTGCGTTTTCATATTTATCTCGTATTAAAGTACGAACAATTTAACTACTATTATATTTCTTTGAGATGATGCTATATGATGATGACTTGATGGCTCATTATTTGAGATAAATGTCCAGGGGCGTAGGAACCGGGGGGCCAAGAGGGCCCCCCCAAGTTTTCAGAAGACACAAAAATGCCCTTTTTCTGGTGGCAAAGTGCCCTTTGCCTTTGTGAAAATGTTTTTCAGATTGCATTTTTGACTCACGGATGTTGCAAAGCAATATCTGTGAGTCTTTGTGGTTACTTGAGTGTGGGGCAGTTAAACAATGAGAAATGACCAGCCTGCTGCCAGTGCACTCTTTGGCTACGAACCTTTCAGAACCAGAAATCGGGCTGTAGCACCACAAATGGCAAAATTTGCACGATGCTCGTTTGCGAAAACAACTGCAAACTGCTTTAATTATTTCTGTCACTTTCATTTGATCTCATCCGTGAGTCGGCCTCAACCGCCTTTGATTTATGATTGCATTTATTTTTCCCTCCCCCCCCCCGTCGCCAACATTTCCGGGGGAAATTTTTTAGGTGAGCTTTTCATTCCAAAAGTGCCCCTCGAACTGCTCCACACACACACACACACACACACACATTTTGATGCTTCCTATGCCCCTGCTGGCTACATACACCACAATCATTATACCCTCATATTTGTCCCCAAATCTTTGTCTTATTTGGTATTTTTGTTGTTTATGTACAGTACATAATTGATTGTTCGAAAATCGACTCATTGCCAAGTGTGTCTATCAATGTTGGTGGCAAGAATTTTACGTTAACTGGTGCGCAGTACGTTATTAAAGTAAGTCTGAGCAACTTTAAATTTAATCCTCTTTTTCGAAATGGTGAGGTAGATTCATAAGGATAAAATGGTGAGAATGAATAGCAACCCTCATGAAACAGAAGATTGCCTGTAGGCCACAACTACATGTAGGTGAATTTGTGACCATGTAATTGAGTAGCGTGAAATGTGAAAACAATATTTTTGTGTTGTGGAAAAATTTTATGGGAGATGAAGCGGTCTGGCCCCGCCCCTATATAATGTTTATACATATCAATGTGTTTACGAATTATGACTGTATGACTAAAAGTTTTCTCTAAAAGGCTGATTGACACAGAGGTGAATGATTATCAGTTTATCACTGTAGAAGACCTTTTATTACATTTGAAGTGTAGACCAATAAAAATTTGATAATAATCATTAATTGTTAAATTTTTGTCAAATCTTGACTTTGATCTATCATTTGACCTTTCTGAAGGAGGGCAAAACGATCTCAGGGCAAGTTCCTCCCTGCATTTCCTTTCAAAATCTGGCCATGCATTACAGTGAATAACGAATGCAATTGTGATGGCCGTTTTTTTGCTTTTTGGGAGACTATCCTTGGGCAAACTGAATGCCTCAGCGGATTCATGGGTCTTGATGTACCACCACCTTGGGGACCTTATTGGATCTTAGGGGATGTCTTCATTGGTCCCTACTATACCGAGTTTGACATGGCTAACGACCGAGTTGGGTTCGCCAAAGCTACCTAAACACCGCCGTAAAGTACACAAACGCACTAGATAATGAGCATGATTTTTAATTTTCAATGCATGTAATTGTTTTATATTAATTGTACGATGTTTTTGACAAAACCCAAATTGTAGATGCATATAGCATAAGAAATACTTTTGATAAGCATGGAAACAGGAAACAAAATAGGCAACAGCTACTTGAATTAACAACATGAGCCTATATGGGTTATTCTTTAGCCTATATGGGTTTTTCACTTCTAAAATTGTACACCGGCTTCAATATGGGGAATTTATACCTGATTTTTAGACTCTCCGAAATAAAGTCAGCACCATTTCAGCACTCTTTGTAAGGACGACTCGTATTTTGCTATATATACTACTTGAAAAACAACAATCATAAATTACAATTGCCCAATTTTCGGTTATAGAGGAGCAACAGTGTGAAATTGTTCATGAAAAACAATCATTGAATATTGGAATTAAACTGGCTAGTGGCTACAAATAAATAAAATAAATTTTACACGCTCAAAGAAACTCGCTCATTTGGCTTGAGCCCTGAGCAAATATCATATCAGTCATCCTCGTTTCCAGGGCTTCTCGACTGCTGCTGGCAGCATATATGAATATGAATTGACATAAAATACACAAAAACTTTCCGTCTGTAAGTTCGTGTCTGCGATCATGCGTCCGCCCATCCGCGCCCAGCAGTCCGTGTCCGCCTATCCGTCAGACGGATCAATGATGTGCCGCAAGGGGAATGAACCGTGCAAATAAGCGCCCTAATCAGTCTCTGCTCTCTAGTATAAATCGGGGACGAGTTAATTGAGCTTGATGACTAAATAGCTGACCTTTATTGATACGAAAAAAGTAAATATATAAATTCATCCTCATGTTTCTGTAGCCCTGATGAGTGAAAATACTAAAATTTATATGAGTTTGGGGAACTGACATGCACGAGTGAGTTTTTCAAAGACTATCAAAATTTGAAGTCTCTGAAAAACTCACGAGTGTAATTTTTTTTCAAATTGCACGAGAAACTATACTATTAAAAAATTATTTGGGGGGAAATATTAATTAGAGACAGAAATGTTGTCGGCAAATGCGATACTACACCCCCTCCCCCTTCTTCATCCTCTTTGCTATGGCCCTGGTCTCTCCAATCAATGAAGGGCCTTTGCTTCGCTTGAAACGTCGAAATTATGCTTATATTTTCAGGTAGTTGTATTTCTTATAAAGACTGCTGTTTGTTCTTCATCACTACCCACGCTGGCATTCGCTGGCACCCTTTCGACAATTACGTCACACATACTTTTTCGTCTTGGAGCCTCGCTCTCAGTAAATTATGCAAGGTGATTGGCTCATGATTCATGAGAGCGAGACTCCCGGGCCAAATGACGTATTATCGAAAGGGTGTACTCCACTGGAACGATAACTCCAGTGATCAAGTGGACCATTCCCCAATTAACTAAAATTTTGATCTCAACAAGTCTAGACAAAATTCCATCATAGCATGAAAGAGCATCACAAAATTAGTAATATTCCAAAGTTTCGTTGCGAAATGTTGTAAAATGCGGATAATATAGCCTTGCGAAGTTCGTCAATTTTCAGTCACTTTGTATTACGCACAGAAGTGGTAACCATTTCCCGTTTGTAATCTAAAATGACAGAAAATTGTAAACTTCGCAAGGCTATATTATCCGCATTGTGATGCTCTTTCAAGCTGTGATGAAATTTTTGTCTAGACTTGTTGAGTTCAAAATTTTCGTTAATTGGGGATTGGTCCATTGGTTCGCAGTTTATAGAAATGTGATTGGTTGAAGCCAAATTTGAAGCCAAGCGCGGGAGCCGCGCGGGATAAAATAACTTTCAAAAGGACTAGGGAGAGTTGGCGAGGAGCGGGAAATTCAATCAAAAGTTTGTTTTTGAGCAAAAATTAGCAAGAAAAAGTACTTTTTTATCAAAAGGCTTTAATTTTAAAGATTCAAACCTGACCCTTCCTGGGTAGCAGTTCCTTATTCAAAATATTACACAAGTTTGAACGTGCCGAAAAAAACTTCGCACTTTGACTCCTCGGAAAATAACTTTAAAACTGCTCTACGTTCTGGAAACATGTTTTGTATTAAATTTCAAGTATTGTTGAAAGTTTTTAGCTTTTTTCCTTGTTGAAATACAGCTTTTTAGTGCTCAAAAACAGATGTCTTTTCGGTGGCGTATTCTCGATGCCTTACGTAGGCTCAGAGACTGTCAGAGAATGTCAGACTTTGCCAGCGTGTACGGACGAGCAGTAAGGCAAAAATCAGTTCGCCAAGAAACAACAATGGCAAAAGCGAGTACACTGCCATTCTCCTGTTATCAAACGAGATTTTCAAAAAAATAGTTTTTAAAGATTTTCAAAAACATAGTTTTTAAAAAAATTTTAAAAGAGTTTTAAAAAGCAAAAAAAGTTTAAAAAGTTAGATTTTCAAAAAAGTTTAAAAAGGACAAAAAGTTAGGAGGTAGTGGTTAGTGGTTGAGGTTAGTGTTAGGTGCCGCGAATTTATTATTATGGTAAATTGAAAATGTGCCGCGAATTTATCATGCTGATAAATTCGGACGTGTTTAAGAATTTACTCGTATAGTAAATTCAAAGGTGGAGCTCATGCTGCAATGATGACCACTGTGAAGTTGTGAACAGTCTGAAGGCCCTGAACTTGAAAATGAATCTGACTCAGACAAAAGTGATAATGTGCAGGGACGTCGCTACGGGGGGGGGTGTAACACAACACCCCCCAATAATTCAAAACGTTGGGCAAAGTTGCATGGGCAAAATGGAACTAATAATCTGCTTAAAATTGAAGGCCAAAGTTGGTAAAATTTGGTCAAAGTTTGAGATAAAAATGGTCAAAGTTATGAAATCGTTCGCAATTTTAACAATATCTAAGCTTTGGTCATGTTTGCACCGAAACAATTGCAACTAACTTTTGCAAGCCTTGCTTATTTTGGTCGAAAAATATTTGGAGCTTTGGTTATGTTAGTCCCCCCCCCCGTCGACAACATTTTCGGGAAACATTTCTACTACTTGGTCAAAATTCTAAGAAAGTTGGTCAAAACATGACGACACCCCCCCCCCCCCCAATGTTGATGTCTTCACGACGTCGCTGATAATGTGGATGATGTGGATGATGGAAAAGGGCTTCCAACTATGGTGGTGATGATGTACCTCAATTAGCTCCTGAAGCTCTTTTCCTCAATTCCTCGTCGGATCGAGATCAAGGTTTGGAACTTGGAAGGACTGTTCGTTTCAATGGGAGGTATCTTTAGGAATTCTTTTAAACCTATCTGTCATTTTAGTGGGTCGAAGTCAAATGAAATAAATTAATACTAATTAATTACTTTGTTTCACTTTTTCATAGTTGCGGTAGGTTAATGGCTTATGGGCGTTAACATAGCATGTTAAATTGACGTTTATCTAAAGACGTTTACATAAACCCTCAAACTAAGGGCAACCCTCAAACTCCGCATCAAACCCAGGAAATTTTTTTGCCAAGTAAATGTAATGTGCCAATGTCTTAAAGAGGTCTAAAGAGTGGCCCTGACCTGCGATTTGTAGTTAGGGTGACTCGATTAAACACGATATTCTGTATGACTACCCGTCCTTCATGTCATCAGTTTGAATGCTTGAAATATGCTTCGTATAGAAAATGGATGGTCGTTATTCAGTTTGTGTGGAAAACATGGCGGTTACGGTTATACAGAAAAATGACGGGCGGCTGACGGAACAAGAAAAAAAAATGCGCGGTTTGCGGAAAGACTTCCCCCCTATAATAGGCTCCCTACGTGCATGCCGGCCATCGTGAGTGTATTCTTTGTTTGCAATCACCTGACTTTTCATCCAAATGACCAGCAATCAAACAACTTGTGGACGATTTTTCTCCTATCAGAATGGTCGTGGCAAGAAAAACTGAACGGTAATTCATCCTTTGAGTCTTAAACTGTCTCTAAACTCGATCAATACATTAAAATAGCCGTTTTTTGTTATACCTGCCCACTGAGCTATACTATATTACTGGAGGACCTGCTCGGGATCAAAAAGTGTCGCCAAAAACATGGCGGATCTTACGCCATTTCCATGACAACACTTACTTTATTTTCATGGTAACTGCCACTGACCAACCGCGATCCTAAGCATTTGACGATGTCCTTAACCCCCCTGGTTTTGGGGCAAATATTTATAATACGATATGGATATAAAGTTTTCTGTTGTTTTTGAGCTAAAAAATCTTAATATTTCCCTTGAACATTACTTGTTTTACAACGCGGAGCGAGGGTGCGGGGTTTGCTTCGCTTGTGGATGCAGCATTTCACTACAAATAAAGACTAATTCTTTCAGGTAAGATTCACGAAACTTTTTTATAACTTTCTAGACGGCTAGAGTCACTAGACCCTTCATATTATGTCAAAAACTCATCCTAATATATACAGCAAATATTTCAATAGGGGACATAAAAGTATTGTTAACGATTAAACATTGTGTACATGAAATTATGTTGTTTTGTGTCAGCAGACAGCACTGGCCTTGGTGATTTTATTGCCAGTTTTTAATTTGGCATACTTCGAAACCCGGACCCGGACTCGGACTCTAAGAAAATCCGGACTCGAGAAAAACCCGGACCCGGACTCGAATAAAATCCGGACTCGTGTTTAAGAAAACCCGGACTTGACTTTTGAAAACCCGGACTCGAAATAGAAAAAACCGGATTCAAAACAAGGACTCTGTGTACGAGAATGTAAAGGTTTTTTGGAAAGGTTTAATAATAGTCAACATGATGAACGATGATCTCTTTATAACAATAATGATGTATATATCTTTAAATAAATTTCTAGAGTGCTGTTGCACTATCTGGCGTAGTGCTGATAAAGAATCTGAATTGCTCGGTAATAATTGCGGGTGTCCCTATCTCTTCCCGCTTTCGGGCTATAGATATAGATAGAATACTTTATTTCAAAAGCAATAAGCTTGGTTTTGAAACATGTAGATC